TCACTGTGTCAGTGATTGCTCGCTCGTTATGCAGACGCAAACAAACCCGTTGATGGAAGGTCACGGGCTCACCTGTAACTGGATGGGGGGGGCTGGAAGGGGAATTTTTGCCCTTCAGATGCCTTTGTTGCCCATCTTGCCAGGCCCACGTGCCTGGGAGGGTGCGTGTGCCAAAGCTCTGCCTTCCTCCTGGGCTGTTTGCTGGAGCTCGCTCGGCTCCAGAGACGCGATCGATCTCCTCCTGGTGTGGCACGGTGCCCAGGTATGGCTCCCAAAGGCCTTTGTCACCAGGGTGTTAACAATTAACCTCCTCAGGCAGAAACAGGGCCAGGCCTTCATAACCGAGGCTTAGTTAACCATTCAGCTGCTTATCTGAAAGCAGTTTTTCCTCTCTCTCACTGGAAGGCGTTCGCCAACTCACACTTCGGCAAAGCAAGACGCGGGAGTTGGTTTAAGGGTTGTTAGATTTACAACAGGATCCAAGAGTGTCCCCCTGCCCCGAGCTGCAGGCATGGCAGAAAAAAAACCTTGGTAAGATGTGGTCGTGCAAACTTTACCCACCACAGCCAGGAAAAAGGAGATTTCAAGCCCGGATTTTCAACGTCGGGCGTCGAAAATATCGATGAGTTCAAGGCTGAGGGAAAGGCCACGTGGCCACCATGGTTGGATGGGATGAGGAGGCCATGCAACCTGGAGGTGGTGGGGAGCTGCTCCCTTGTGTCCTGGTGTCCCTGGCCACAGAGGAGGCTGGCTGTACTGGTGAGACACAGCACCCTTCCTTGGTAAGGTGCTGGCGTGGAGATATCTAGAAGGAAGAGGGCTTGGAATCAACCCAGGAGGACAACTCTGTGATTCTGTGGCAGATAAACCCTTTTCAGCTTTTTTTTAACACAGTGATGCTGGGCAATAGGAAAGCAGCTCAGTGTTTATTCTGGAAGGGTTCCCTCCTCCTTAGTGCTTGCAGAAAGTCCCTTCCCTTGGGTTCCTGCTGTAACCACAGGGCTCTGGGGAACTGGAGCTTGGCAAGGGTTGAGTGCTGGTTCCCAGAGGTGGTGGCTGCTGGGAGGGATGGATGCTTGGATGGATGGACGGACAGAGGTCATTTTGGTAGAGCTGGTTCTCCTCAGGAGGTGGGATGGACCTGGTGCCTTCTTGAGTGCCTGCTGAGGATGAAGAGTAAGGTTGTCCTGGTGCCTCCTCACCACTGCAGATGGGATATAACATCTGGAAAGATAAAACACCTGGAAAGGGCAGTGCTTGTCAAGTTCCCTCAAACTCCTGCTGTGGTTTCCTGCCTGTCTGGAGCCTCTCCACACAACCACAGGGCAGGGGAAGCCACTTCCATCCCTCTATCATGGCTTGGGGGGCTCTTCCAAGCCCAGCTGTGCTTGGAGGTGACTTCTCTCTCCTTCTACAGGATGAACTTGGGAGTGAAACGCTGGTAAAGAGGAGCCAGTTGGGCTTCCCTCAGCCCCCAGTGTTCATGCCAGGCCCAGCCTCCTTGTTTCTCTCACTGGGCCTTACCCACCCAATTTTAGTTCATGTTCCCATGGGAGGAAGGTGAGGAGCTTCGAGGAGGTAAAATGTCCTGGGGAAGTTTTTTATTATTCATTCCTCCAAACATGGAAGGAGAAAAAAACAAACATCCCCAGCTCTTTGCTGGAGCCTGGCAGCTTTATTATTCCTTACCTCACTTTGCTCCAAACTGGATTGCACAGTTTATGTGAGGAATGACCAGGGTGAAACCTGACTGGGAGCTGGAGCTGGAGCTGGCCAGAAAACACACCAGGGAGAGCTGTTGTTGTTGGGAAAAAATGGCCCTTTTTTAGGCAAACAAAGCTGCAGTGCCAGGGATCTGCTGGTACTTCTGGAGTCTCCTTCCTAACACATTTGTTATGCTGGTCCATATGTTCTGTTTATCAGATCCTGGATTTACAGTAAACATAAGCTAATAACCATATTTTTTTTTTATTTTTTTTTTCTGAATATTATCTTGGATGATTTCCAGTTAAAAGGGGGGAAAAATTAGCAAAAAAAACCCATGGAAAATGGTCTATTTTTAGAGTCTGGCCCTGTGGTCCAGCTCTGATCCCACACCCTAAGCAAGCAGCCTGGTGTCCCACCTGCTTTTTAGGTCACTGGTGCTTGAATGGGAATGCCAGCTCAATGTCCCAGGGGGCTTGAGACATGGCCCCATGGGATCCCCAAGGGTAGAGAAAGGATCTGATGCTCTGCTGGTGAAGACCACTGATGGAGATGCAATGGGGCTGAGCAGGCACCTTCTTCCAAAGTGCCCTGGAGGGCATTGTCAAGGGCAAGAGCCCAGGTTGTGGCTCTTGCCAGGCTGGGAACACTTCCCTGCTTGTTGTTTTTTGGCTTTTTTGGGGTTTGTTGTTTTTCTTTTTTTGGAGGGGAAAGGATAAAACTTTCCAGTGACCTCATCCTGCCCTCAGAGAGCCGATGTAAATGTGCAAATGTCACTGTGGAATTTACCCAGTGAGGAAAAGGGAACCTGGATTTCTCCTCAGCTGGCTGAACACGGCCAGGGAGGGAGGCAGGCGTGGAGGTGATTGCAGCCACTGACTTGCCCTTCTCTGGAGCTGCAACATTCCAGCACATCCCTCCCGTGGTGGCTGGTGTCCCATAAAAATAGGACACAGCCTATAAAGATCCCAAAGTCACCAAAAGGCAGGTTATTCTTAAATTAGCAGAAGAAAATTAGGCCCTTGACTAATAAAATCTGAAGGCACCGTGGGTTGAGTGTGGCTTCAGGTGGGGGTGTTCTCTCATCCCTCCTGCATCTCAAACAAGTCTCCAGGTGCCCAGCAGGCACCTAGATCAACCCCTGGGTGTCGTGGACTCATGAAGTGTCTATGGTGGTGTTCTTCAGAAAGTGTCTTCAGGGTGCAGAGGGGTTGTGAGCCTTTGAGTCCTTCTCAGTGCTTTGGAGAGACATGTCCCAGTGTCACATGCTGGGTGCAAGACCAGACCTGGACACTTATAATCACGGAATCATAGACTGGTTTGGGCTGAAGGGACCTTAAAGTTCACCTAGTTTCAACCCCCTGCCATGGGTAGGGACACCTGCTCTGTGCTGGTGGAGGTTTTGTTACTTATGACTGCTCAAACCAACATGTTTGGAGTGTAGTGGGTCCCCATGCTGCACCATGAGCTGCCTGGGGGAGATTCCTTTGCTCCTCAGCCTGGAGACCTCAACCAGTGTGTGACATGGGGGCATGTCTGTGGGGGGACAAAGGTGGCAGGTGCAGGAAGGACGTTAGCAGTGGCTAAAGAACGTTCACCCAATGCTCATTGCTTCATGCTGCTGGTGGGTCAGCAGGGCAAGTCCCCTGGGGAGCCTCCTGGGCTGGTGTGATGTGCAAGAGGATGGAGAAGGTCACACCACAAGGCACGTTCTCCTCTGCCTCGCAGCTGCCTCGTCCCCAGTCCATGATGGAGCACCTCTGGCCTGTCTCAGACTATGGAAGCTCCTTCATGCCTCACCAGGAGTTCAGCTGGCATGGTGGCTTTCACCAGAGCACCTCCTTAAACCACTTTTTCCCTCCATCACCACCTCCCTACCCTGCTCTGCCTAGAGCAGCTCTCCCAGGTTCGCTGTCGCTTTCAGCTCTTTGTCCCCCCAGCACAAGAGTTTGCCCCGTCTGTCCACCAGCCCCGTGACACTCCGGCCACATTTCAGACAGGGCAGCTTTCTCTGAGGAGATCAGGATGCTGGAAAAAGGAAGGCGGACACAGGGAGAAGCCTCCAGAAATTCCATTTAATAAAAGCGAAGTCGAGCAGCGCAGACCCCGCTCTGACCTTTTTTAATTTCTTTTCTCCTTTCCATTATCAGTGCAAATAGCAAGACCCTGTGAGACACCACATCAGAGCTGAGCTCCAGACCTAAGCCAGGTCTCCATGGAAATAAACCCAGCTGTCCTGCTCTGCTTGGGAAGGGCTGATTTAACATCCCTGCCCCAAGAAGTGGGAAAAACTCACTCCACCTCCCCTGCCTGAGGCCCCCATCACTGAGCCTCTCTCCAAAGGGCTTCACCACTCCTGTGATCCCTCTTCCATCCCAGGGGAAACCTGTGCCTCCCACTGCCCCTAAATCCTGCTTTTAGTCCCCACACTGCCAGGATGGCTTATCCTGGGAAACCTGGGACTGAGGGTTCCTGGCACAAAAACAAAGGTGATGGAGCTGAGGAAGAGCCCTCAGACAATGTGAGGGCTGGTCCCTGTGGGAGAGGAAACTGAATGACCAGGTCAGAGGCAACTGTGAGGACCATAATCTGCATTATCCCACTTCTTAGGGTCTAGTGTTGGCCAGCCCGAGGCACAGCCTGGGTAAGAATAAAATGGAGAAGGGAAATAAGGGTTTAAAATAAAATTTAGGGTGACTCCTAGACAAAAGCACCTTTTTAAAAGCTCGAGTCAGTGGGATAACATGGAAGAGATGGGAAATATGTTGCTTAAGCCTTGGTGAGGCATCCCTGAAGGGTACACTGGAGAGACCACACTGTATGGGCCTATGGATGGACATGGGCTGGAAACCTTCCATCCCTGGGGCTGCACAAAGTTGCTCAGACCTGGGAAAAGTGGCAGCAACAATCCAAGCTGGGGAACTGTGAGTGGTGGTGTCCAACTGATGATGCTGTAGAGCTGTGCCCACTCAGACCCACAGAAACCCTCAGCCCTTGGACTGGGAGGCTTAAGGGCAGCTCTTCTGCACGGACATGAGTGGGACTGGGAGGACCACTGCACGCTGCTCCTCCAAGGGAGGGACTGGAGGTCACAGGGAGGACCCACAGCCCCATCACCTGCTGCACACCCTACACTGAAACATGACCTCGCATCACCCTGGCTCATCCCTGCACCATGCTGATCTGCAGAGGGTTTGGTAGATAAAAGACACCTCTAACAGTCCCTTTTTCCCCTCCCGCTCCTCTTCCCCTCCCAGTGCCACTGACCCGTGCCTCCACCTCCCCTCTGCGCTGCCATGGCCACGCTAGACGCCCTGCCCGCTGGTAGTGACCTGCCCTACCCCAGCCTGGAGAACTTCCACCCTTTTTTTCCACCCCATCCCTCCCGCGGCGGCGCCATGGGGAGCGTGGGCAGCGGCGTGGCCAACGACCAGGAGTTTGCCATGAAGAGCGTGGGGACGCGGACGCAGGGCAGCGGCGGCCGGCAGCCCGAAGGTTCCCGCAACGGCTTCTCCAGCCGGGACGTCCCCAGCCGTTACTCCGGCGAGGAGAAGACCTACAGGACAGAGAAAGTCTCCAATTCCCTCTACATCAACGGCGACCTGCGCAAGAGCGACAAGGTGAAGGTGGACATCTGTGGGAACGTCACCACCAGCAACGAGAAGAACCTGCCGCCTCCCCCCCAGTACCGGGAGCCCAGTAACCCACCAAAGATCTTGCCCATCTCCGGCAAACTAGACCAGGTGAGACCTCCCACCCACCCTCTCCTGGAGCACCCGTGGTACCTCTCTGAGGCCAGGAAGCCTCGGGCAATCCTGGCAGATCCTATTTCTTGCCTTGCAGGTGGCATCATTGTTATGTACCAACTCCCGCTGCTTCCAGGGGGTTGAGTAAAGGGGGATGTTAGTTCTTGAGGAAACCCAAGGGCATGACCACAACTCTTCCACAGCCAAGTTTCCAGATCCTTTTAAGTTTACAGATATTTCAGCCAAAAAAAATAGTCCAACCTACCCAAGATGCTGTGTGATGGTCCAGTAGGTCCAACATCTGAGTCACTTATGTTTTGTGCCATTTATAGGCAAACTCTCAACAGCCCGTGGGCACCAAAATGTGTTGCCTGGAAGCAGCTTCAAGGGGCTGCTCAAAACCCCAGTGCTTCTTGTAAGGCACGTAGGAAGTTCCAAACATGAGGAGGAACTTCTTTGCTGTGAGGGTGGCAGAGCACTGGAACAAGGCTGCCCAGGGAGGCTGTGGAGTCAGTTTCTGGAGACATTCAGAACTCCCCTGGACACCCTCCTGTGCAACCTACTCTGGATGAACCTGCTCTGGCAGGTGGGCTGAACTAGATGATCTTCAGAGGTCCTTTCCAACCCTGACCATTCTGTGATTCTGTGACAAGTTGTCAAGGCTTGAAAACGACCCTAGTAAGGGTTATGACCCATCCAAGCCCAGTCCTAATGGCTCATCTCGGCTTCAGGGAGCAAACATCTCCCAGGCCTGGAGGAGAGAGCCCCAGAGCCATCAGTGTGTTACACAGCCTGCTGCTCTGCTCCAGCAGCTCCCATCATTTGTGTCCTGGGGAAGCTGCCTTGTGCAGTATGATTTCTGCAGTGCTTGGTGGCCTTGTCTCCTGGGTTGTTAATCTACTCACCCCTGTAGTCCATCCCAGTCCTGCCAGGTGCCAGGATTTTGGTCTCCAACCTCACCTGCTCACCAGGGCTTGTCATGTTTCTCCTGGGAGATATTTTCAAAACATCTTTGCTAATCACAGAATTGTCAGGGTTGGAAGGGATCTAGAGATCATCCAGTTCAACCCCCCTGCTAAAGCAGGATCCCCTAGAGCCCATAACCCAGGGCTGCATCCAGGGGGCCTTGAACATCTCCAGAGGAGACTCCACACCCTCCCTGGGCAGCCTGTCCCAGGGCTCTCTCACCCTCACCCTAAAGTTTTCCCTTATATTTCCATGGCACTTCCCATGTTCCAGCTTGTGCCCATTGCCCCTCCTCCTGTCCCTGGGCACTGCTGAGCAGAGTCTGGCTCCATCCTCCTGCACCCACCCTGAGATACCTGTAGGCATTGATAAGGTCTGTCCTCAGCCTTCTCTTCTCCAGGCTGAACAGCCTCAGTTCTCAGCCTTTCCTCATCAGGGAAATGCTCTAATCCCCCAGTCAGCTTTGTTGCCCTCCCTGGACTCTCTCCATCAGTTCCTGTCTCTCTTGAACTGGGGAGCCCAGAACTGGTCCCAGTTCTCCAGATGTGGCCTCACCAGGGCAGAGCAGAGGGGGAGAATGACCTCCCTTGACCTGCTGGCCACACTCTTCCTTATGCACCCCAGGATTCCACTGGCCCTCTGGGCACCAGGGCACACTGCTGGCTCATGGACAGTTCGCTGTCTACCAGGACTCCCAGATCCTTCTCCTCAGAACTGCTTTCCAGAAGGTCCACCCCTAATCTATATTCCTCTGGGTTAATTTTCACCTGAAGCCCAACCTGCAGAAGGAGAGAATCAATCCCATTTTGAGCAAAATTTTATTTCCATAGGTGCATTCACGGGTTGGGGAATGTGCAAAGCTTTGAAATCCTTTCCAAATCCCTCACAGCTGCCAACCATTCTCCCCCCAGCTTTGCTTAGAGCTGCAGGAGAAACAAATGTTCACATGAAGAGCAGCTCCAACAAGTTTCTTGCCCAGTGTCACTGCTGGGCTCACAGCTCCCACTTATCCCTGTCCAAGTCCAAGCAGGACATGGTCCACACAGGGCAGAGATCACTGCCAAGGGGAGGGAAGCACGAAGCTCCTGGGACAGAACAGCTGCTAACCCAAGAGTTCAGTTCAGCTTCCAGAGCAAGGGAGATGCACCCTAAGGACAAGAAGTCCTTCAAAATACAACCTTTCAAAACCAAAAAGTTGCTTCCATCAGACCTGGTAGGCAGGTGGCAGCCCTCCTTCTTGCCAAGAACACTAAAAGAAGCTAAGGAGTATTCTAGGGAAAAATCACACAGATTTGGGGTGAGTCAAGACTTGTTTTTCCAGTAGGGGCGAGGGAAGCCAAAGCGTTGCCACATGAATGACAACATATCCCTCATGTGAGTGACCACAGGTTCCTCATCCCTTGTGAGAGCCTGGCCCAGGTTGCCCAGGGAAGCTGTGGCTGCCCCATCCCTCGCAGTGTTGAAGGGCAGGTTGGATGGGGCTTGGAGCAACCTGGGCTGGTGGGAGGTGTCCCTGCCCATGCAGGGGGTTGGAACTGGATGATCTTGAAGGTCCCTTCCAACCCAAACCATTCCATGATTCTCTGCTAAATCCCAAAGGGCCCAGGGTGCAACAAGGCTGAGAAACACGGAGCCAGCCCAAGACTCCCCAGCTCCACCAGCCCGCGCCGACGTGTCTCTTTTGTGTGTTGTTCCCAACCTTTCTGCTATGTTTGATGCGTGGTCCTTTTTCCTTTTTGCAGAGCAATGAGCCCTTAGTTAGACCCTCAGCCTTTAAACCAGTAGTTCCTAAAAACTTCCATTCCATGCAGAACCTCTGCCTGCCACAGAGCAACGGGGTGACAGAGAACAGGAAGAGCTTGAACCACGCCAACAGCAATAGCCCGTCCGCCCCCAAAAGCGGGCTGGAGAAGAGCAGCCTTAACAGGACTACCAACCCAGGGGGTGGCCTCTCAGATTCGGGCCGTAACTCGTTGACCAGCCTGCCCACCTACGGGACGGGCTACAGCCAGCACGTGGGGCCCATGAGCGCCTCCACCAGCCACATCAACCGCATCGGGACGAGCTACGCGGAGAAGAGCATCGCGGGCTACAACGGGATATCTACCTCAGACAGCGGGCGCTCCTCCAGCAAGAGCACCTCCTCCTTCAGCAGGCTGAACCACCTCAACGAGACCCTGCCTTTCCACTCGCCTTCCACCGACGACATCATCCAGGACCTGGAAGACCGGCTGTGGGAGAAGGAGCAGGAGGTGCTGCAGATGAGGAGGAACCTGGACAAGAGCGAGGCGGCGATCTTCCAGGTGTTTGAGGAGAAGCAGAAGATCTGGGAGAGGGAGATGGAGGACCTGAGGCAGAACTATGCCAACAAGTTGCAGCAGGTCTCCAAAAAGGCGCAGCGGGCTCAGCAGGCCTTGCAGCTCCAGATCTTCAAGCTCCAGCAAGAGAAAAAGAAGCTCCAAGATGACATGGGGCAGCTCCTGCAGCAACGGGAGGAGCTGGAGAAGAAGTTCGTGGCTTTCAAGAAGGAACAGGCTGAGTTTCTCCCCAAGATAGAAGAGACCAAGTGGGAGGTAAGAGCCTCGCAGGACACCTCGAGTGAGGTATTCACTGAGGGTTTTGATAGCCAAAAATACTTCCCATGTGCCCTAAGTGGACCTCAGAGACAATGGCTAATGCCATAAGCCACCTCTTGGTTTCTCTGAGCCCCAAAACCCATAGTTTGGGAGGAAGCTGAGTGCATTTTTCTCTGCACACCCACCTCCTGTGCTGCTTAATAATCTGGCTTCCCAGCGAGGTCCCCCCGACGTTGGAATCCAGCCTCGGTGAACACAGGCCTTTCCATACAGGTACTTGTGCCTAACCCACCCCCCATTCCCCCTCCCCCCCCCCAAAAAAAAAAAAAAAGGGTTTAAGTCTATTTTAATTAAATTCTTCTAACATCTGTGTCTAGGCAAACCTCGAAGCCACTTTTTAAATATTTGATTTTCTTTTTTTTTAGTGAAGATAGAAAGCAAGTGAGCTCAGAGTGACCCCGACAGCCAAATCTGCCTCATGCCTTCCATTGTAACACTGTTTGCAGTTGCTAATAAGCTCATCTCAAAAGGCTGAAAGGCAAATTCCTCTTTCTAGTTCTCCCTTTCCAGTCCTACCTATTTTTTTTTTCCCTACTCTTTCTATTATTAGAACATTTTATCCAAGTCTGTTTGTATAGCCAGTGCTAACATTGTTTTTTTTTCCAGCTCGATCATGTGAAGAATTTTAATCCTTCCATGGACTGGCTAAAAAACTTGAAATGTATTAAGAGTACAGAGGCAAAATGTAGTTCTAGAACCAGGACGACCCGATTCTCCTAATCCTGATGGAAAGTCAATGAAGCTGGGGTTAATTAGGCTCTGAAATGTGCTATTTGCAGATGTTCAGCAGAGCTTATTAGAGGTTTGCTGTAAAATCTCTGCAAGTTACAGCCCAGAACAAGCCAACTGCATTTTCCCCACATGATGACTCCTTCAGCCAGGGGCTCTCTGCCCAGGGCTATTGTGCCTTCTAACAAGTTAGGTCTGGAAAATTCTTGCATTTTGCACCAGTAAAACTGCAGATGGGTTTTTGATTATTTGCTTCACTGCTGTAGTTCCATCTGCAACAGCTGATCCAGTGGTAGTGATGTAAAGGCAGGAATTCAGCTTGTGGCTCAACCCTAGGATTACAGAACAGTTTGGCTTGGAAGGACCTTACAGATCATCTAGTTCCAACCCCCCTGCATGGGCAGGGACACCTCCCACCAGCCCAGGTTGCTCCAAGCCCCATCCAACCTGCCCTTCAACACTGCCAGGGATGGGGCAGCCACAGCTTCCCTGGGCAACCTGGGCCAGGGTCTCACTACCCTCACACTAAGGAATTTTTCCCTAATATCTCAAGTCAATCTTCACCCTTCCAGTTTTAATCCATTACTCCTCATCCCTTTACTCCCTGCCCTTGTCCAAGGTCCCTCAAGACACCTAAGGTTTGCAGACACCTGCACTTGCTGACTTGCTCTCCAGGCTCCATGGACTGTATTTGCTAGATCTCCAGAGCACCCAATTAGAGGCCTAAATCTGAGTGTTTAATCTGTAAATTGATCCCTATCCAAGCCGTTCTTCATCATGTATTTCTCTGCCTCTGGGGAAGAGCTGGCCCACAGAGAGCACTTCCAGTAAATGGTGCATTTCTCAAGCTAGGCAGTAACTACATCACTCTACCTACAGCTAAACCAGCGTGCTGGGGGTTGCATCTGCTGCAGACAAGTGCTGGTGTGGGTACTCACAGAGTCAGGTCTGCACAGGGAACCAGCACAGCTGTCAGCTCCAGGGAAAGCTGAGCCCAGTAGGAAGTGACTGGGTCTATCTCCTCACTCTTCAGCCACTTGTGGTGAGCACTGGGCTGTGCTGATAGCTGGGCTTCGAGGTCCTGCTCGACTTTATGCTCCAGGCAAGTCCTCTCCAGCAGAAAAAGGTGGAAGTTGCAATGCAGGGAGTGGAGAGGAGCACTGACCCCAGTGGAGCAGAGCAGCAAGGGACCTTGCAGGCACCACAGGAGGGAGGAAAGGCCACACATTTCATGTGTGACAAGAGACAGGAGGTTAAGGAGGATGGGCCAGCCCAGCATGGAGGTGGCTACCAAGTCTGTTTTTAACTATGCCTGTCCTCTCTGATCACTGATGTTTCCTTGGTACTGCTGCCCAGCCCAGATTCCTGCCAGTACAGGTAGGGACTGTTTGTCTCTGCAAATGTCCACAGGAGACAGGTCAGAACTGCCAGTGCAGAGCCCTGAAAATGGTCGTGGGAAAATGAGGGTTTGGTCATTTTTATGGTTGACTTCCAATGCCCCCAGCTATTGATGCAACTGTCACCTTCGGTGGACTACACAGGCACAGAGAAGTGTCCTATTGAGTGGGTGAAACCTGAGCCAGGCAGGATGAGACCTGAAACTCCAGTGCATGGTCATCCCACTTCTGCAAGGACAGGTTGCAACTCTCTCCTTCACCTTTGGCAGAGGGGCTGTCACTCTTCATTAAAAAGCTACAAGTCCCTGGGCTGTCCCCGGTGAAGGGAATCCTAAAATTTAGTCAACTGGGCTCTTCAGGAGTCTTTGGGGAGGAAAGTGTCATAGGATAAGTGAGAAAGGTCAGCTGTCCCTGCATGTTGTACATCTCCCAGTGCTCAGGAGAACCCGAGTAGTCTGTGTGGGTCTGAGATGTTTCTGTCTCAGGCTTGTTCAAGGTCCAGATCCCACTGAGGTCAGTGGGAAAACTCCTGCTGAGTGCAGAGGGTTCAGGGTCAAGCACCACAGGCTTGTGGTTAGCTAAGATGAACACAGGGAGGGAAGCACTGGTGTCCACTGGTGAGGACCACAGCGCTGAGCTGTTTGGTCAACTCCAGCTGGGAACAGCATCAGGTCACTGAGAACCAGGAAAAACCACAACCTCTGTGCCTTTGGCACGGGCTGGGTCCTGGTGAAGGCTGGAGCTCTGTCCTTGAGCACTGCCACTGGTTGTCCCCTCCATCACCTGAGCCTCCTGCCCACGTGGGGCCTCGCAGAGGTTTCCTAGGCAGCACAGGGGACAAGCAGTGGTGGTGGCTGCTCCCTGCCTTCCTCCTGCCTCAGGGATGCTCTCCCCACAGGTGTGCCAGAAGGCGGGCGAGATCTCCCTGCTCAAGCAGCAGCTGAAGGACTCCCAGGCAGACGTCTCCCAGAAGCTGAACGAGATCGTGGGGCTGAGGACGCAGCTGAAGGAAGGCAAGAACTTCCTGAGGGAGAAGGAGGAGCAGATCCTCACCCTGAAGGACTCCTACAGCTCCAAGAGCGTCAACCTGGAGATCTGCGAGGGCGAGCTGCAGCGGAAGATGGGCGAGGTGCAGGTGCTGAGGGAGAAACTGAACCACTGTGAGCTGGAGGTGTCCAGCCTGAAGCGGACGATTGCCAGCATGGGACCTGGGGGTCCTTTTGGTGGGGAGCTGGGTGAGAAGCTGAGGGACCCCCTGGCCTGCGAGAGCGACGAAGCCAAGATGCAGCGGCAGAGCGAGGACGGCGCGAGCGCGCTGCGGAAGGAGGTGGAGAGGCTGCAGGTGGAGCTGAAGCTGGTGAGGCAGCAGCGGGAGCAGCAGGTGATGGACTTCGAGGAGGAGAGGCGCACGTGGCAGGAGGAGAAGGAGAAAGTCATCAAGTACCAGAAGCAGCTGCAGCTGAACTACGTGGAGATGTACCAGAAGAACCAGCTCCTGGAACACAAGGTGAACGAGATGAACACCAAGGCCACCAGCCCCCCGCACACCGAGGAGAAAAAGACATGGACCCCCTCCAGGCTGGAGCGAATAGAGTCCACCGAGATCTGAGGTGGGACCCGGGAAAACACGACGTCACGTGGGTGTTTTTGTTTTTATGGCTGGGGGTGTACTACCTACTCAAGCCAGTGATCTTCCGACGGCAGAAGCGCTCCGGGAGGAGAAGTGTGACCCTGCTCACACCCAGCTCCACCACCCTTCATACTTCTGTGCTCTGTAGGTACAATAACCGTGGATGTGCGTTGGTTTTCTATCGACAATGTGACACCTCCCTTGGTTTGTTTTCTTATCCTGGTACAGCTGGCGAGGGTCAGCTGGCTCTTCTGGAATCTGCCACCCCCTCTCCTGCAATTCACCCCCTCTTCGGTTGGTTGTTTTGGAGGGTTGGGGTTGGTTTCTTTGGTTTTCCAAGCACTTACGTGCAGCAAAACAGTTCAAAGTGGCAGATTTGGTTTTGGGTTTGGTTGGTTGGTTGTTATTTTATTTTTTTCCAGAGCATTTTTAGCCACATTGGCTAATGGAGCAAAGCTCTCGAGCTGATGAGCAGACTCCGTGTTCTGCATCAAGTATCCTGTCTAGACGGTGGTCTTAGTGAAGTCAGTGGGAGTTTGGCCACTGATTTCAGTGAAACCAGACATATCTCTAACAGATGACTCCCTCTTGCCATGGTTGCAAGAGGTTAGGACATCGCTGAGGAGCAGGATGAGCCTGCCTTGGGAACAGAAGCCAACAAGGAATGATCACCCAGCAGGAGCCTCTTTGGAGGCTCAGCAGAGCTCGACAGATGCTGCGTTTTCATTTCGCTGTGGTTTCCTTCTGCAGTTCCACTTCTCCCCTGGGTTGTGACCAACCCTGGGAGCAGAAATACCCTCCCACCTCTGCCTTGGTCCCTCTCTTCTTACCATATACTCACGCTGGCTACAGCATGACAAAAAAAAAAAGGCTTGGAAATCCAAGCTGGTTTCCCTTCCCAAGAGCCCAAAGTCAATGGAAGCAAGGTCTGGGGAAGCCTCCAAACCAGTGGGATGCTTATGCAAACTCAAGCTTCAGCAATTTGCCCCAACAATGGGCAAGTGTGCCACCCCATCCCCAAATGAGTGATGCTTTGGTGAGCTCTGCTGGTCCAGGGTCTGCTTCAGAAATGGCATCACTCAGGAACCTCAGCAGGTACCTACCAGCGTTACCACCAGATTGCAATGGAGAGACCATCTGCCTCCAGTTGCAGCCACTTCAGACACCACCCAGGGTGAGCCCAAGGGGTATCACACATTCCAGAGACAGACATAACACAGGCCCAGCTTAAAAAAAATACTCAGCTACTAATTCTGAGCATGAAAGCAGAGAGAGGAAGGGAAAAAGCTCCGGTAACATCACGCAAGTGCTTGTCCCCTGGCAGACTAAGAACCAAATCCCATGTCTCAGTCACTGTGCATGGCACAGGCATCAGAAACCAGCAGTCAGTTTTCAAAGGTGGCCAAGGTGGGTCTGGCTCTTCCTTTTCCCCCAGACACTTTTTTACCATGAACGACAGCAAAGAGTTCAGAAATGTTGCCAAGCGGTGTTTGCGCTGACTGAGCCGTGGCCGAAGGATCAAGGCAAAGTGGGAAATGGGGCTCTTTGGGAGCAGCTAGAAGAACAAAGCTAGAATTAGCACTGGGGTGTCTTGGGATGTCTGTGAGGTGACTCCAGGGAGAGTTTGGCCAGATCATGTTTCACCTGCATACCAAGGAAGAACCTCCGGGTGCTAAGGGGCTGAAGACCTTCCAACCAAAAGCCCTGCAGCAACTCGCTTTCCATGTTTGCTTCCACAGAACTTTCCTCCTCTCCATCACCACATCTGGCCTTCGAGTCGGGACCAAACGTTATCATGGTGAGCTTCAAACTGAGCAAAGAGGCTGGGCAGGAGAGAGAACACTCTGGCTAATCCCACCAACCTCCAGCCAAGGTCCACAGACTGTGGGCAGGAGCTGTTGGTGGCTGGCAGCAATCCCTGGAGCCACAGGAAATGGAGATGTGTGATGAGACCAGAGCTTTTCAAGACCCTAGTTGAGGAGACCTGGCTTTTCCCACTGCTTCTGCTTGTGCCTTTGGAGCTGGAGGAAGCCACCAGCCTGAAAAACACTTGGGCACCTGAGGCTAAGCCCCACTCCCAGGACCAGCCACAGAAAGGGGCGCTAGGTGAGGTCTGACCCCTGAAGGGTGTGGAGATGAGTCCCACTATGAATCCTGCAGACTCTCCAGTGCTCTTGGACATCATCAGCCCGTGCACCCCACCAAGGAGGGACTGCAGCTGCCTTCCCATGTCACCCAGCAGAAGACTTTGCCACGCCAAGGGAGATACCCACATGTGCTGCATAAACGTGGCCAAGCAAATCCTAGAGCTTCCTCCATTCCATACACTGGGCCTTCGAGATGGAGTCAAACATCCCACAAGATCAGGGTCGGAGATTTGGTGTCTTGTGTCATCTCAGCTTCCTGTGCCTCTCTTTCCACATCAGACAAACCCACCCTGCCTTCTTTCCCAAAGCAAAGAGTGCTTGTGAAGAGCTTTGCAGTCCTTGGGCTAAAGGGCAAAGCACGGAGAAGCTGCAAGAGGCTCAGTCTCAGATGGTCACACGGTGTTTCTGAGGCCACCACATGAAAAGCAAACCCAACACCAAGTACCCTCACCACCTTTGGGTCCAATAACCTGGAGGGTCACTTCCACCTGTGTTTCTTCTGGCCCCAGGGACGTTGAGGTTGGTTTCCCACTAATCATGGAGGAAGCCAGTGTTTCAGTCAGTGGCTCAAGAACATCCAGAGTGACTGAGTTTCAAGGATGGGCTGCTGAGGAGATGTACACCACAATGCCCAGCTGTGCTAGCACTCAAGAGGAATGGACACCAGCATCATCCTGTGGGACACCTTTCACCAGAGCTCCTTGCTAATCCACAGGCAGGAGAAGCAGGGGCTTGTCTGGCCTCCCCACATCAGCCAAGATCTCCAGGTCTGCTTCATCATCTTTCTCCCAGATCTTTGTTGTCGTGGTGTCAGGAAGGAGTGTGTCCTGATGGACCCAGTGACACCTGGAGGCATATGGGCTTGTCTGGATGCGGGAGACTGCTGGGCTGTCCAGGGACTCAGTGGTCTCACAGTGCATCCATGAGGGACTGCTAAGCTCCTTGGGATGGAGGAGGAGTGGCCAGGAGAGATTTTTCACCTGGGAGGAGGAGAGGTGCCTACATTCCATTCACCTTCTTCACTGCATCACTTCGATCTAGAGTTTCAATCCAGATCTGAGTAACCTCGATTGTGGCCATTCTCTGGATGATGAAGAGCCTTGCAGACACCCATTAAGATGTGTGCTCCTGATGGTGCTTTTCCCTCTCTTGGGATTTGCCCAGCAGCCCCCAAGCACTCAGCTGTCCTGCAGAAACCATCTGTGTTACAGTGACATCAAGTGCCCCAGCCAAACTGCCAAGAGGGAGTCCTGCTCTTCAGGAATCCTATCCAGAACTGGAAGCACTGCTTCCCATCATGTCCTCTCCACGTGCTAGCACTGTGTGGCCACATGCTGGTAACCAGTCTCTCTCTGAGATGACCACACTTTGCTCAGCAGAGACGGAGCGAAGCGATGGTGGGACCACCTGGGTTCCAGCTGTGGCCCAGAAGGGAGCTAACCCAGCTCTTTCTAGACCTTAACACTTCTATCTGCTGCTGGGATGAAGTCTCCCAGCACAAGTTTGGTCTGCATTGAGGCCCTTGGGTCCTTAACCCTTGAGCAAGATATCCAAGGGGTACCAGACTGGTGTTCTGATGACATATCCTGAGAACGGCCAAGGAGGTTGACACCTTGTCTCCTGGAGGCTCAGACAGGGCTGATGAAATGTTTCTGTCCCATGAAACTCACCTCAGAGTTTGGGCTTGGCCCTAACCCCCCTGTCTCCTCCACCTTTCTCAGCCAGCTCTGGAGCTGATGGGATCCAGTGTGACATACTGGTCCACGTTCAATTCTTCAAGTACTGCCCTCAACAACCTTGCACATGGTTAGTGTCTCCACTGAAACAACAAGTCATCTCTAACTTGCCATTGGCCAACAGTAAAAGCCGTGGTGACCAGCTCAGTTGACCACACATGGGGTCCAGGAACACTAGAGATGCTCTGGGGTACCTGGTATGTGGGGCTGGCCAATATGATCTTAAGACCTATGGGAGAGCCAAGCCAGTGGTGGGAAGACCTGGAGCATCTCTAGTGGCACATCACCCCTGTGCAGGCAACCGAGTCATGTTCCAGGCATGTCCATATGGTCATTATGTCAGCAAAGAGAGGACACTGATCAGCTCCAGCAACTTCCACCCCTGAGGATCTGGGCTAAGGAAGCTACCCTGGTGCCAGGAAAGGTCTAAGCAGCTCCTCTTACCACTTGCTGCCTGCGCAGTTGTGTGGCTCCACCATCATTTCCAGGTTGGCTGCTGTCACTGAGGTGCCAACCTGGCTGGGCTAGTTCTCCTCACCCAGCCACCACCCTGTCCCACCCCGGCTGTGAATGCCACAACCATCACACTTTGCTGTGCCCCACACAGGCACAGGTGAGTCCCACTCAGCTGCTGCCTCCCTGTGCTGGCCCCAGCTGCCCCACTCCTGCTGCCGGAGGGAGATTCCCCTCCAAGCTTCCACCCTCAAAGCAGGAACGGGGTTGTTGCTACGTTATCTGGAGACAAGTGTGCTTGGATGTAAACAACCAGCCCAGCTGTGTCCATGCCATGATTAAATGAAGAGACACCAAAGCTCTGTGGCTCCTCTCTGGGTGAGCGGGACGTTCGGCAGCTGCTGCGCTCGAGCGACGTGAGGGTGCTCAGCACCCCTGAGCTTCTGCTGCCTGCTGGGGGAATGGGGGAGCTCAGCACCTCCCAGGGAGGAAATCCACTCCAACAGAGCCATCTGGTATCACAGAATCCCAGACTGGTTTGTGTTGGAAGGGACTTTCAAGATCTAGATCCAACCCCCCTGCATGGGCAGGGACACCTCCCACCAGCCCAGGTTGCTCCAAGCCCCATCCAACCTGCCCTTCA